TTATTTTTTACTAGTTCTCGCGCGTTAGATTTAGCAATATCTATATATATATATATATATATATATATATATATATATATATATATATATATATATATATATATATATATATATATATATATATATATATATATATATATATATATATATATATATATATATATATATATATATATATATATATATCACTTAATATTATCAACAAACTTAAACAAACTTAAATAAAATTATAATTAAAAGAAAAAGAAAATTATAAAAAAATAGTGGCTTCAAGAATGAACCTAAGGTGGCCAACTTCTTGAAAGGCGAATTCTCGAATGATTTTTTCTGTGAGGAAATCGAGATTTGCTTTCTGAGCACCGATAGGGGGTGGGCCCCCCATGACCAACTCGGGTGCAATTTTGTCGAGTCCATAACCGAGTGAACTCCATAGGAAGAAATCTGCTTCCAAATGCTCTAGATTCTCCGCAAACTGCAACATGTCTATATCTCCTTTGTAAATTGGTACTCCAAACTTTGGATACTCCGAAGGGCATAACGGGTTGGATTTTACGATCGCATGTTGTTCAATTGACGCCAAGATTATAAACACAAACTTAAAAACATTGGAGGCTGAAAAAACATGCACCATTTTCATTTGTTTTTATGTTGGTTTTCTTTGTGTATTTAGATATGTAGAAGAGGGCTTATGATTTAATATATTACACTTATGATTTAAGTTGGTTATTTATAATTAAATTCATAGCCATTTCTAACATCTCTCAACCAACTCAAAATCCCACATAAGCAACCAAAATAGGAAACAAATAGAACACTAAAACAGAACCTTCAAAACCTTACTCGTCAATAAATGCTATCCACCGACTCGATAAGTTTGCTTAGAAGCAAACAACAACGTAAAATGCTCCGTTCATCGTTTTTGTTCGTAATTTGATGTATGCAGAGTATGAAGCTACTTGTTTATCTACTTATGACATTGCTTAAACATAAGTGGTCTTTGCCTTGTTCTGCAAAACTTAGTCCATTTTCTCTTCATAATTGCCTTAACAAGCATTCTTGCTGCTGCAAGTTTTAATTAAGACACATTTGGTATATATGGTATATGTATAGTTAAAACGAATTGGTAATGAGTTGTTGTTGTAACTAATTTTTGTGCTAATCAAGTAACGCACATCAATACTATATTTGGCCAATAATTTAGAAAGCATGCAACATAAAATCAGTCCAAATTTTATTTTTAGCGGTTGAGTAGTTGAGTTCAATATAGACATTTACTTTGAAGATATTATTTAACTCGATCAGTATTTCAAGTATTACTGATCTACAATTTCAATTAATTATCTATCCATCTATATCTATATATTTTTTATAAATTTATTTATCATTGATAATAAACTTTTGATCTTTGTAATTCGAGCACTTTTTTGTAATCAAATATTTGCTTTCACGAAAAATAGCCCTGTGAATCGCACCGGTGCAATAGTACAGTACTAGTCTTATCATAATTTGCCCTAGAAATATAGGACTTTTAGGCAAGGTTTTTTTTCTATGCTCTCCTTGCCACGACACCTCTAATTCTCTAATTATTCTAATTATGTGTTCTGATACTATTGTGGTCTTCTAATATTCACGATAAATCCGAAACAAAAGAAAACATATTCAACATCTACACGATGCTAAGATTGTGATGGTAAAGATGCGAATAGGGCACCAAAATTACTGAATTGTTACTTTTTAAAATTTATGAGTGACTTGATCTTGAGCATTCTTTTTCTAACATCTAGTAATTCAATATATTATTTCTTAAACATATTAATGCATGGTCCAAAATGATTCTTCACTTTTCATAATTTTCTTCAATATAACAGTTGTATAAGATATTGTAAGGTTGATGTGTTTTTAAACGGTTTCTTGTTGAATTTAATATTGCATACTCTTCAAGCATTCTATCGGTGTCCAAATATTTTCGAACAAAACTTATGAGGAGTAGATGATTTGGAGATTGAAACTTGTGTTGCTAATGAAATTTTAAATCTGCTTCCTTGGTACAAAATGAGAATAACAAGTCTTACTTATACTCGATCACAATAGTTCTAATCAATCGTTAGGAGTATTGTAATTTAATGTCTCTAATTAATCTACTAGAACTTTTTTTTTTAAAGTATTCTGAAATTTTATTCTAAAACATTTTCAAAATTTTCTAAGAGAAATATGTTTGGCCCAAAAGTTACTAGGTCACATACTCATAGATTAAATATTGCAAATAAGTAATATATTTGGGGGCTATTTGATCAAAATCCCCTCATTGAATTTTAGTAGAGTGTTGGGATAATCCGTTAAATTGCAGAATACTTAAATTACTCAAATTTAGTGCATTTTTTGATTTCTTTGTTGGGCACTTTATAAATAAGTGATTTAATGGGTCTTATTCATAAAGAAGTTCAGACAATAAATGTTTTTACAAAAAAGTCCACACATGGAGGTTTGTAAAAGACTAAAATAGCCACTCATATTTTAATATGCTCCAATTTTATCCATTAATTTAATCTAACCCCAATTTGATCCCAACTTTCACAAATTATTCAATTTTGACCCAAAACACATTTTTATGGAAAATTTCGTTCGTCGCCGCGGGTCTCCGGCGTTGACTTTTTTTTTCTTCTTCCAGATTTTTCCGCCGGTTTCCGGCGTTGACTTTTTTTTTCTTCCTGATTTTTCCGACACCGGTTTCCGGCGTTAACTTTTTGTGATTGTTTTTTTCTTTAACATCCTTTTGCCCCCATTTAAACAACAATATTGTTGTGTTTGACAGTAATATTAACTATATTACTGTTTAATACATTAAAATTAACTATACTACAATTTAAAACAATAATATTGCTATATTAATCTCTAGCACAGTAATATTAACACAACAAAACTCAATATTATTGTGTAATAGAGTAATATTAATATGTTGACCGTTCAACAAAGGTAAACATAATAAAAAGCCAAAAGAATTAATATTATTGTGAGTGACAGTAAGATTACTATAACAACAGTAGTTTTAACGTCAACCACAATAATATTATTGTGTTTACAGTAATAGTACAATAATAGACGGTAATATTATTACGTTACTCCGTGAATAACTCAAACAAAACAAAAAAAATCCCAAAAAAGTAATAATATTGATGTGGTTGACAGTAATATTATTGTGTTTAAAGTTACTTTACTGTCAACGACAGTGATATAATTACATTGACTTGTCAACAAATCAAAAAAAAGAAAAAAGAACAACAATAATAATAATAATAATAATAATAATAATAATAATAATAATAATAATAATAATAATAATAATAATAATAATAATAATAATAATAATAATAATAATAATAATAATAATAATAATAATAATAATAATAATAATAATAATAATAATAATAATAATAATAATAATTAGGGCTGGGACTGAGTTGGTTTTTATCCACCAACCGACCCATTACCGACCATATTTTTAATATAAGTAGAACTCACTATTTTAATGATTTCCGAAAATAGGCTTCTGGAAGACACACACACAAAATCCGAAAATTTGAGATACCAACAATCGTGTGTCATTAAATTCCCAAAAAATTGCTTCCCAAATCTTTCCATAAACTACCATCTA